ATCTAAAACGACAACAACGACAATAGGAGGGAAATGAGGAGCACCTCTCAGCAAGTAGGATGGAGGATGTAGTGCTCCTTAAAGACAGTGCTCGTATGGAAATCACTGACGTAATGGCTCCTGGGGGCACCATCTTCTCATGCTCGTACCTTCAAGGTCACTGCCAGAAGGTCGCGTCCAACACTTTCAGTCACCTTCATGGTTGTGTAATGTTATTTACACATTTTGTTTAGCATATCGTGGTCCAGTGGGTCATGACGCGTAGCTGGGGGTACCCAGGTCGATGGATCGAATCCCCCCCACATTGTTGCAATGGATTATCTCTTTGATATATCGCGTAATTTCATTGAAAGTGTGATTTCTGTGTATATTTGAGGGGAACTTATGGTGGAGGAGGAGCCCTGCACCCACACCAACACTTCATTTGGGATCAGCTCAAGAGCCTCAAGCCTCCTTGTATTGATGTGTATCGTTAGTTACGAACGACTGATTGATGTGATGAGAGCCCATCAGAATAGTACTAACGTTACAGATATTACATGGACTAAATTAGGATGAGCGCTTTCGTAGGGTCTGCCGGGGCAGTGTGGATCTCATTCCAGATTATGATGGTATGAAAAATATCTGAAATTGACGAAAACGATCCTCTCAAGGCGCCTTGTCATATGATTCGGTAACCTCGCTCGCTCTCTCATAGAAAACGGCGGGGCTCGCTTCATTCGCTGGGCATCCTTAAACATTTGGTGGAATATTTGCATGATGAAGAGCAGCTGAAGGACCAGGAAGTTATACTAGACTGGCAGAGGCTACACAGGAGCTCCTGTGCATACATAACCACCCGTGTTGTATATGTATAATCCTCCCATTATATGTACAGTGCACTTGCCTGAAAGCATTTAAATGCTGTTCACATTTGCTACGATATACAGGGTCCTTTGAATGTAAAAAAAATTGATTTAATACACAAATATACATAATACGAGATGAGGTATTGATATCCATTTGTGCAATGTGCATGTCCACCTGGCATTCTCCTGAGCTGACATGTTACACCCAATATCTTAGTGTTACCTGTTACGGTAACTCCTCCTTCTTAGGGAGGAGTTACTCCCTAAGTCTTACGAGTAAGACTTAGGGAGTAACTAAGTTACTCCCTAAGAAGGAGTCTTACGGCTCCTTCTTAGACCCGCGACCAACCGACCAATCATCTGCCACCTACCAATCACCTCGCTAACTGTGATTTGTCACCCGGGGAACCACCCGGGTCCTTGGAACTAATCAGTACCAAAATAGCTCCAACGTCAGGGGCCAGAGGACAAAGAATGAGGCGAAACAGAGAACAAAGAATGGTCCAGGACGGACCGAAACGTCGTCGTCGTCGTCCCTTTACTTTCTAGTGTGTGGGTTGGTCAACATATTTCAGCCACGTTATTGTGACTCCTCGTCTGTAAAGAATGAGGGTTTAAGGGTCAAGACAAGGTCACCCCAATACCACAAATATGTAATTACAGTGACACAAGTTGGTGTAGTTGTAATAATTTTCCCAGGGATTGGCACGAATGTGGGTAGAGGGATGGGGGGCGGGGAGGGGGAGAGGGGCAGGATGGGTACTTACCCATAAGTACTTCCCTATTAGTGACTACGGGGGAAGCGAGGTAAGTCAGGTGTTTATGTACGGTCATCCCTGTTAATATAGGTAGATTATTTATGTACTCGCCTAGCTGTGCCTGCAGATGCTGAGCTTCAGTTCTTGGGCAACGTCATTCGTTAGAATACACGTGATGTCCAGGACCCCCAGTGGACACATACTGCAAGAATGGCTTTTTGTTCGACGTTGATTGTTTGATTCGACGATTAATTCATCTTTGAATCAACGAAGATTGTTTGACTCGACGTTTAATTCATCGTTGAATCAACGTTTATTGTTTGATTCGACGTTTAATTCATCTTTGAATCAACGTTGATTTGGCATTGAATTGGCGTTGCTCTTGGATATTTTGCCTACTCCAGTGAGACAGAACTGTGTGATTTCCTGTAGTCGGGGACAACAAGCCCTTTAGGCTACTTAAAGTGTTCCTATGCCACCTGATGACCCTCTATTTACCTTACTCCAAGGTACCTATTTACCCCTATGTGAACAATCGCATTAGGTGAAAGAAAACGTGTCCAACGGTCTTTGTCCCTGCACGGGAATGGAACCTGGGTCCCCCTCAGTTGAGTCCGAGGACGTTATATAATGATTGTACGACGAGACTCGGCACGTACCAGTTGTGTCACAAGCCAGTCTTAACAACCCTCAGTGTAGCGTCACAAGCCAGTCTTAACAACCCTCAGTGTAGCGTCACAAGCCAGTCTTAACAACCCCAGTGTAGCGTCACAAGCCAGTCTTAACAACCCCAGTGTAGCGTCACAAGCCAGTCTTAACTACCCCCAGTGTAGCGTCACAAGCCAGTCTTAACTACCCCCAGTGTAGCGTCACAAGCCAGTCTTAACTACCCCAGTGTAGCGTCACAAGCCAGTCTTAACTACCCCAGTGTAGCGTCACAAGCCAGTCTTAACTACCCCAGTGTAGCGTCACAAGCCAGTCTTAACTACCCCAGTGTAGCGTCACAAGCCAGTCTTAACTACCCCCAGTTCTGAGCCTCTGTAACACGACGTCAAAAAACTCAGCACCAGTCAGGTGCTCCAGGTGACATCTGATCGACCATCGGTGCTCTCCTATGCTGAAGGAACGAGTTCTGAATGTCAAAACGCTCGCTAATGAACTCATAATTAGCAGATATGAAAAGAACGCACCTTATGTGCCCACTGCACAACCGGACCCAGGAAGAGAGAGGTGCATTGATGTGAGTTTTTTATGGTTAAACCTGTTTAAATTGCCAATTTTATTCACATTGATTTAGTATAATAAATTTTACTGTTGCATTTGACCGTAATTTTTGTTTTGGCTGCCAGATCGGACGTAATTTTGGGAGCCGGGTCGGACGTGGTTTAAGAGTCCTCGACGGCCAGATCTCCAAACTTAGCAGACTTGTTATAATGATGTCACTATCGTAGTCACTGCGATTGATGATGACTTACCTTCATCACAATTCATATATATGAATGATTGATGTTGATGGCATTCCTATCCCATGCCTGTATATACATATGATTAATGCAGGCATTCCTACTCATTCATATGTATAATTGAGGCATTGCTTCCAATTTATTACCATACATATATATGAATGATGCAAGCATTCCTACTTCTCATTCATTTCAAATCTCACTGTGGGAGCAATGATTCATAATATAAGCATCGTCCTCTCCAGGGCAAATATAACCAAATGACGTTGATACAACATGAAGTAACATTAAAAAAACGTTGATTTGACGTTCAAAGTTGATCCGGTATTGACTAGACGTTGATACGGCGATTGATTATACATTACTCAATCATTGCTTTGTCCACTGGGTTACATGAGTTGATTGCTTCAGCATGCAAGCTAGCGTTACAGCTGCAAGGTCGCTATATAATCACTGAGTAATTCTTAAAGCGCATAAATTCGCCTTTCTTTTCTTAAGTCGTTCCACGCAGGAAATGCCTACTCTGGTGTCTCGTGTCCCCGTCATTCCTTTTCATCCTCTAAAGTGTTTGTTTATGCAATGAAGAGTGACGGGAAGAACTGCCTGCGTCAACACTTGCGTACTCATCCTGTTTGTCTCTCTACCCAGTTAACACGCAAGGTACAGAAAGCATTTTGTTCGTTTGTACAAAAAACGTTTTTTTTCACATTTCTTCAACTTTGCAACAACGGATTACGGTTAACAAAATCAAAATTTGTGGTTATATTTTGGGTTGTGTGATGACAGAGGCTTTTATTCTGTCTATTATATCAATTTATCAATTTTTTCCTTTTAATAATCGAAAGTTCTCCTTGTTTATAATATTTTTATTAGTGTTATCGTTGATAAATATCAACTATTATCTGTTATTTTAGGCTTCCTTTGTTTTTTTTTACTTTTCCCATGTGCTTTGCTTTGTCTCTGTCTCTGGTACAGTTCCACTACTGCTCTCTACTCGCTCTCTAATTCTTTGTCTCTGTCTCTGGTACAATTCCACTACTGCTCTCTACTCGCTCTCTAATTCTTTGTCTCTGTCTCTGGTACAGTTCCACTACTGCTCTCTACTCGCTCTCTAATTCTTTGTCTCTGTCTCTGGTACAGTTCCACTACTGCTCTCTACTCGCTCTCTAATTCTTTGTCTCTGTCTCTGGTACAATTCCACTACTGCTCTCTACTCGCTCTCTAATTCTTTGTCTCTGTCTCTGGTACAGTTCCACTACTGCTCTCTACTCGCTCTCTAATTCTTTGTCTCTGTCTCTGGTACAGTTCCACTACTGCTCTCTACTCGCTCTCTAATTCTTTGTCTCTGTCTCTGGTACAGTTCCACTACTGCTCTCTACTCGCTCTCTAATTCTGATTTGTTATGATCTACCAGTTTTTAACACATCTCTGTGTTCTACGCCACAACACAACATTTATTATCTACCCCTTTTTAACACCATATATGTTATCTACTCCATTTTCAACACCATAGCTGTTATCTACGCCTTTTTCAACACCATAGCTGTTATCTACTACATTTTCAACACCATAGCTGTTATCTACCTTCTACAGTTTTTATTTCTAAGGGTTTATTTCTATAACTGTCTTAAGTCCAGTTTTTCGAAGCATTGCACTTACTATTTTGATCAATAATGTATTGTTTTTCAATTTTTAGATCCCCCCCCCTCCTCAAAGTTATTTATCTAACTCTTATTTAGCTAGTTCGTTATTATTAAGCTGATATCAACACATATCTTTTGAATCTTTTGTTTATGATAATTGATTTTATTATTATTATTATGACATAATTGATTTTAGGACGTAATTCTCACATTCACATCTGGTTTTTCATTAATTTCATATAAGAATACTTTTGTCTAAAAGGGGATTCTGACAGCCATTGAAACTGGTTTTCATTAGAAAAAAGAGTTTATTCATGATCTTAAAATAGTCGTATATACATTAATTCTATAACATGTGATTAGTTGAATAATGAAGAAGGACTGACAGACTTAAGACGGTTGACGAGCGTACAATAACTGCCAACTCAGTTCCACAAACCATAATGGTTCCGCCAGTGCCATGAACCACCATGGTTCCACCAGTGCCATGAACCACCATGGTTCCGCCAGTGCCATGAACCACCATGGTTCCACCAGAGCCTTGAGTGTAAACTACCATTGACTTAAATCATAATCTTTACTTTGAAATCTGGTCTAAAAACATATCCCTGTAGAAAATAAAGATTGATGCATTTATTTTATATTCTGCCAGAAACTTAGATGAAAACTATTAGTTGTTTAACCAATTATGACAGTTGATTCAAAGGAAATTACAATAATAACAATTAAATATTGATAATGAAATTAATTATACAATAAAATAATTAAAAAATAATGACAGAAGAATAACAACAACAATGATAATAATTCTAATATAAAACATATATGAAATAATATATAAGCAAGTTCATAAACTGTTCAATAGCAAAACCCGTCCCTACTGGCGCTTCATTTAAGGGTCATTTTAACCCTTCACTAACGAGTGCGTGTAACATATTAATCTTTTGACCTCTCAACAAATTAATAATAACTCTAATAAATAACTGTATCGTGAAAATGCGACAATTAAAGACAAAAGATGCAACTTTTAACCCAATTGTGTATTATAGATTGCGACCGTCATAGTGAAACTGTGGCAGATGTGAACCAACGTAGCCAACACACTTCAACCCGACGCACTCAAGGCTGACACAGACTGACGCACTCAGTCTCACACTCTCGTCCTTACCGTCACGAATACTCCACCAAACTCACATTATTGCACTTGTAAAGGATAAAGCTCAAAGATTCACTGCTATTTTAATACTGTTTCGTATGGTTGAGTGCATTGCTAAAGTGAGTCGCTTGAGTGTGTCTGCGAGCTATAATTGTGATTGTAAATGCCTCTGCCTCATCAAACACTCGTCTCGCCAAACAATTTTGTCGAGTCAGACAAGTCAATACGTCAACACAAATCTGTATGTCATGCCTTAAGAAAAACTAATCCCAAACAGTCATTCCTAGAGAAATAGACTTGTGGCATAAACAATAATATTCTATTAATACAAACACTTCTATTTCATGAAACATTTCTGTTATCCTTAAAAATCACTTGCGTTATGCTAAACACTTCAGTCGCTCCTTTATGACATCTCCAGCGATATTAATTTTTATTTCTTGTTGCAATATAGAAGAAAATCTAACATTATATAATGTATAATTCATTTCTTCTCTGTTGCTGGCTTCAAGTTATTCACGTCACTAAGATTGATTGATTATTATACGTCAATATACATTTATGAACATTAGAGATAACATTACACCCTCGTTAGTTCTGGGCATAATATAAATAATTACCAGAATAAAAATCTATATAAATTTCCATGTCATGATTTTATACCTAAGGGGAAATTTTTTTTACCAGCAAATTATTTTTGTTCTGAAATTTGTTTAAACATTGATATATTTTTTAAAATACTGAGACTAATGCATTATTAATTGGGATTTTTTGTTTACATGCTATTTACATTCTCAGTATTAAGGGTCCAGAGTGATGGGAAGTGTCTCGTAAACTCATCGGCTTCACTGGTAACTTTAAAAATCTTACACTGAAACTCATTTTCTTAAGAAAATTAACCTTTGGTTAGTGGACCCAACTTTGAGAAAGAGACAGTAAGAGAGTGAGAAAATTCGCAAACATTTTTATATATTTTGTACAGAATCACTCCACAGATGGTTTTGATCCTCATATATATATATATATATATATATATATATATATATATATATATATATATATATATATATATATATATATATATATATATATATATATATCCACTGCCTTGTAACCATGAACTTAATTAAATGACTAATCATCCAGTTACAAAATCTGTACCCTCACTGTCCTTCCTGTACTCTACGTGGACTGTAGCACACATGAACAATCAGTCAATCCTCAGGTTCGTACCTACTTTTTTTTTATCAAGTTTTGGGTATCTTAAACAATGTTGCAATGGTAATCAATCTATCAATCCCAGGATTCTGTTAGCATGCGCCAGAATGAATTATCAGCAAATTGGTAAAGCCTGTGTGATTGGAAACTAGGTCAGGTACTCGGCAACAGAATTATGGCCACCCAATCCAGTGAGCACGCTTAATGATTCAATGATTATTAGCTGCTAATCAACAATTTCTTGAAATGACTACAAAAATGCCCCCTGGAGACAAAAATATCCAGTAAACATATTTTTACGCCACCACTCCAAAACAATATTATATATATACAAGTATATATATACAATCACTAAACACCATAGACTCTAGAGAATCAACAAGACTCGCACAATACTGGAAAAAGACGGAAATACAATAGCAATTGTTTAACAAATCTTACAGGTGAATCTGAGCTTAAACTTCAGCTAGAGGTTGGGATACACTACGCTCCCACTGTACCATTTCCATGTACCGTCTCATGCAGGCGAAACATCCGAGATTGGCAGGTTATTGGTTCATTGTATTTCGTTCACCCGACTGTAAATTGTATGACGAGTTAGAGCTTTTCTGTAGTTTCAACTGGCCAATATTTTTCATTTTTTTTCATTATTACAATATTTATTCTGTGCAGAGAAAATATTAATGTTTTACAAAATCACCCCCCAAAAAAATAAGAATATTTTTATTATTTTCTTGCATTTTCAACAGCGACTCAAACACGACTTTTTTCAGTATACGAACTAGAAAATGTGCATTAACTTCACCTAACTGCGAACGACGATATGATACATACCATAAGCTTAATATCTTCCAACAGTTTTTCCCAGTTGGAAGCATCATATACAGTGGGACACTTGGGAGCACTTTGAAGACTTGCAAGGAATCTTAGAAAACACAGGTTGATGTATGTCTCTTTTGTGGGGGGGAGGGAGGGGGGAGTGGAGACATAGGGGTCGATAAATGGAATAAATATTCATTGCTTTATAAATGTTAATTTATTCTTCCTGCAATAAGTGTCTGAATACTTATGTTTTCCAGTTTACAAAAATTGTTCTTGCTATTTGATTCAGATATTTCTAACTTAATTATCAGAGAGAGTAAAAATCTCTGGGAGGACATGACCTGTTGACCCCCACAAGATCCCCTGAGCACTCCCATAAGTATCCTCGACGTCCTTGAGGCATTTGGATTATTTGAGCTGGGTGGGTCCCTCACGTAAACACTCACATATACACACACAACTTGAACACAAATATATATACAGTCCTGATACACACACAGGCATCTATATACAGCGGAGACAGGCACTCATAAATACCACCAGGCTTCTGAGGTGCTGCCAGCCCATGTGAGGCGGCAGACGCCCGCCCTGGCACTCCACACAGAGAGAGGGGCACAGTGCCTGCCAGGGAGGGAAGGGGAAAGGGGAAACACATTTGTTTAGGCTTTGGAAACGTCTAAACTGACTCCCGAGGTGACCACAACAGTGCGGTACACCGTTGTAGTCACAGTTGGCGGTGCGGGACAGAGGTCTGTCGCTCGAGGGGCGCGGGTGACGACCGACGGGGGACGCGGTAGGACCATAGTGGCGCTGCTCTCGACCTCTGAACTCTCTAGGCTCAGAGAAGAGGTCAGCTCCGGTAATATGCTGTTGCTGGTCTCTTCCAATACTTCTTCGCTGTAGTAATCGACCCACTTTTGCAAAGACTGAAGCATGTCTCGTACCTGCTTTGGATTTAAGGTTTTCAAGAGTTGGACAATCTTCTGCGGGTCTGCTGCTGGCGGAATTTCGGGAATCTTGGTTGTATCAGATGTTGCCGATATTGTAGCAGACCCGAAAGGTTTCGTGACTGATTGTTCGTTTACATCTCTCCTAGAAGACCCGAGAGACCTGTGTTTAATGGTCTGAACCCTCGTATGGAATTCGCCCGGGTCAGATGTTGCAGAGATCGTAGCAGACTCAAAAAGTTTTGTGAATGGTTGTTCGTTTGCATCTCTACGCCTCCTAGAAGACCCGAGAGACCTGAGGTAAATGGTCTGAACTCTCGTATGGAATTCTCCCGGTTCCGATCCACTGATGTACATTGTTAAGACAGTGCTTAGACCCGACGCAGGCGTGGGTTCAGGAGCTTCTGAAGCCTGCGGTGCGGCTTTGGGGCGGTCTTCTTGCCGAGAGCCGCCGATTGGCGGAATAGAGTTTGTTGTGACGCGGGGTCGAGGCATATTTCTGGAACGAAGAGGTGAAGATGAGCCTCGTTCTTCAAGATTTCCACGGCGGCGTGTTGATATTTCACGGTCTCGTCTTTGGCCAAAAGGACGGAAAGTCGGGGATTCCTCCTCAAAATACTGGGACTCGACGGCTGGCACGAACCGCGTACTGGGAGCTCGGCCAGTGGTTCCTTTGGTGGTTCGCCGTCGATCATCGGTCCTGGTGAGAGTGCGCCGACGAGTAGAAGCGGAAAACCTCTCACTTTCCCGCGGACTCGACTCAGTTGTGCTTATTCCGTTGTTTTCAACTCGGTCCTTCCTCTGGAATTTGCTGTAGCGTGTGTCTGTGGCCGCCCTGCCAGTGGAGGGTGAGCTGGAGGTCACGCTGGCGACGCGGTCACTTAGTGTGAACCCACGCAGCACATTGAACTTCGGAGCCTCGTCCACCGGTTCTTCATAATCAGCATAATCTTGACTGTCGCTGAATCTGGTGCCTCCGATATTTCGGTTCCTGGGTGGAGGTCCTCTGAATTCTCGTTGTTTATTGCCCCCGCTGCTGCTGCTGGTGCCCGCAGAGAAAGCCCCGAGGGGATCCTCTTCTCCTGTCTCATCATAATTTTGGAGCAGCGAGGAGAGCACGGACAGCATCTGACTATTTTCACCGTCAGCATTTTGTAAACTACTGGCTATGCTCGTCAGATCTAACTGCGATAGGTCCAGGTTGGCCAGATCTAGGCCTGTTGTATCTAGGTCGAGGGAAGCAGTGGAGACGGGCTCCTGGCCGACGGACGTCGCCCCGACGGTGACATCGAAGACAGTGTACTGGCCGTTGATCCCCCGCGTCTTGATTTCCGTCAGCGTGATGTGGACCGGCAGCGTCTGGACGATGGAGGGCTGGTGCACGGAGGACTCGGTGAAGTACTCCGTCGCCGTGATCACCTGCAACACACACACTCCGGTTACTACAATGTCAACATTATCATTTTAGAGGTAAAGGAGAGACGCAACTTCCAAACTTTGTACATAACTATTAATCACGTATGAACTTTTACTTTGCCTTTAATAATGTTCACAGGGTCAATGAAACGCATCTCTTAGGATATAGCCACAATAAAACTGCAAAATGATCTTTGGAGAGGTAAATTTTCAGCTTCTCTATATTTCTTATGTTAATCTTCACTAGGGAAGATTCGTGCTAGAATCGTTGGTTTGGTGTTGAGCTTAATGCCTCTCAACTTCATAATTACGTTAAAGAAATGACTGTTTAAAACAAGGGTTCTTTACTGGGGTACCCATACCCCCTTGGTGGGTATGGTACCCAATCCCTGAGCAATATAATAAGACCCTCTTTATTATAATTATCTGTCACCGTTGTCAATAGGGTTGAGGTGATTACATATTTTGATTGCACAAAAACAGCAAAAAATGTAACTAGCTGCAGCTAGCTTTGTGATTTGCTAAGCATGATAAAATCCGTATGATTTTCAGCTGTTCTGTTCCTAGTCAACCAAATACAAAGCAAAACCGAGCAATTGAAATACTTTAAAGTGTTACTGGTACCTAATTGGACTGGTGATGATGGTGATTTTAAGTCTGGCAAATTGGGTATGGGGACATACTGGGTAATCCATTGTGGGTCTCCAATCGTAAGAAAAACAGTTAAGAACCATTGTTTTAAAGCGTTCAGATAACCAAATGTTCAGGTTGCGTGGCAGGAACTATGGTAAGAGTTAAGAGCAGGCTTTTAAGCGCGCTGAAGTTTTAAAAGGTCGCCAGCTTCGTAGTTTGGAGAAAGAAGATTAAATTAAGACTGGCCAGAAGTGCCCCTCCATACTAGGTCAAGTCTAGTCAGCGGTGAGTGGATCACGAAGCCCAAGACAAGTCAGGGGAGGTCAGGACAGGTTAAAACTTAAGGATAGGTTGACAGCTAAATTTCAGGGTTTCCCCTCGTGCGATAGAGGAAAATATTACTTACAGTACTAGAATGTATATTAGATTCATGCATTCACTAGAGCCTAAAGAATAATTTGTATATATTAGACTTGAAGGCCACTGAAAACAAGATCAGTAAATGTACCGAGCAGACGTTAAAGCTCGCTGATTTTTTGTCAAAGCTTAGGAGGCACTTAAGAGAGCTCGCTCAAGAAGTAACTCATAATGTAACGCAATTTTTTTTTTGTCCCTGGGTAGTAAGTGCTAATGCCTAGTTGCTTATACAGCCAAAGTATAGAAAATGAATGTTATTTCCCTTAAACTTTGCTTCTGTGACCAGGAAAGTGATAGTTTGAAATTGATCTAATTCCAATGTGAAAACAGGCGCATTTCCGTTTTTTGTTTCACATAAATTCAGAAAAAAGCAACAGATGAATAAAAATTAATACGTATTTATATTAAAACTACAAAAATGACCACAACAGATTTATAAAATAGTTTTTCGAGATTTACTATTATGCTGTAAATCACTGTCATGACTCAAGCCACATATATAGCCCCCAATCATTTTCCCTTTATACTATCATTGGCAGCAATGCTCAAACTGCAGTGTGTCCGGGTGGAGATGTTCGCCTTTGCTCGCTCCTCTAGAGGCAAAGATAGCAGAGGAATCTTGTCAAAAGCCGCCTTGGTGATCCATCAGGAATTATACCACCATTCTGAAGTCTCTGTATTCTAAAGTTCAAGGCATCCACTATAGTTTTCCTTTTGGTATATTCTTCTTCTTCGAAGTGCACCCTATAGTATATACCTATACTATAATTTATATGTTACTTGAAAGTTCTAGAGAGTTCTAGACGTATCTCCAACTTTATTCAGCACTTAATCTATCTCGAATGTTTAGGATAATAGATAAATTTCAATAGCAAAGTTTGTTGAGAATAATAGACGTTTTATGTACTTTGGCGGCATAATTAATTAGGCAAATAACACGTGTTACCCAGAAAGAACAAAATGTGTTATACAGCGGAATTATCCAAAGAAGGCACCAAGCCTGGAATAGAAATTGACCACTGGCAAATGTTACTTATCACGCAAATACGTGGAGAAGGGTCGCGTCGGCTTGACTAGGCTGTAGCCATCGGTTCCAGGGCCCCCTAGGTCACATGCTCCAGGTCAGCCCACGTCACCGGCTGCAGGTCAGGTCAAGGTTCCAGCTCCAGGTCAACCCAGGCTATCAGCTTCCGGTCCAATCAGGTCACTTGCTGCAGATCCTTGTGGGTTAGCTATGTCCTATGCTACCTAGTGCCTTCTTTTGGTAATTACTTACTAGCTGTGTCCGGGGAGTAGACGACCCTCACATCAACTAGCCTATCTAGCTAGTGTCCTTAAGTGTAACCAGACTTATTTCTTCCTCTCGTCCATATATCAGTCTTTTTTTTTCATATCAAAATCCCCAGTGACTTAAGTGCATACCTTTCCACTATCTATCCCTCTACATCCTAAATCCCAACATTCAATCTAAACCTTTAAGGTCAATCAATCTATATCTATCTCCATCTCGTTTTCTTTCCCTTTACTCAGTCGTTACAGTGACGTCCATGCTCCCTGAAGGGTCGGGGTTCGATCCCCCTTTAGTTCAAATCATTGGGTTCAATTCCTTCACTACATCAAATATCAGCTCTAAGTCTGCTCAATATCCCAGCTCCTATATCCTCATAATATAGCTGATAGTCTCTCCTTATGTCCCAGTTCTTAGTCTGTCCTATATCCTTCCGAAGGATATATGATCATAATAGTGTTGAGCTGTGTCCTGGAAATTTTCTTTACCTTTCCTTTACCGCCTCTACTACACCTTACTTCCCTCAGGGTCAAACTCTTCCCACATTCAGGTCTTTCTTCATCGCGTAATTCAGGGTTCAATCACACCCATACTAAAGTTTCCTCAACACTTACAATATTATTTACACTTGTGTTCCCTACTGCACTCTCCCTCTCTTTCCACTACTTCACACTCCCTCTTTTTACTCCCACACTCTCTCTTCACTCCTGCACTCTCCCTCTCTCCCTTTTTTTTACCCTTCTCGCTGTTCCTTACAACAAATGTAATATGAGGTGAACGCTTGAACGCATCATTAGCTATGGTGCGTTGAAATTGAAAGCAGTTTTTATCTTGAGTCATTGAAAACAGTCTCTCTCTCTCTCTCTCTCTCTCTCTCTCTCTCTCTCTCTCTCTCTCTCTCTCTCTCTCTCTCTCTCTCTCTCTCTCTCTCTCTCTCGACATCAAACGACTCACTGCTCAACCAGGAATGTCTATTAACCTGTTCTGCGAACATCGTATTTGTTAAACAGTAATGGACGCGGCGGTGTCGGCTTGAGCCTTCAACTCGAGAATCAACAGGAGAGTTCGAGACACTTTAGATAGGTTGGCTGTGGCAGAGGAGTACTTAACTCCGGAAATTAGTAGAGACGCCTGTGATTATCTCTGTACTACCTCTGTACATGCTACCTCCATGAGGTGAGGTAGTACATGTGCTCACTCGTGTACCAGAGGAGACCACCACCGCGCCAACTGACCCAGATGTGCTGCTGGGGTGAAAGTTCACGACCCCGACACTCCCTCCTGAGTGTTATGGAAACCATAGTGGCAGCTGACGGCGCTGCGATGTTGTCTCTCTCTCTCCGTTACTAATGTTGCGCGCGTTAGTGTGCGTGGAAATGTCAGGCGTTTGCAACACAGTAGTGATTATTGTAAGCCAAAAACGGAATTTTGAAATTCCACGATGGAAGCTTTTTTTGACTATTGCTGTTTCCTTCAGTTAAGGATCGTCGTCAGTGAGATCTCTCGTAGCAGATGTCGTCTGCACCAGTTTAGGGTCGTCAACGACGTATGCTCCAGTAGCAGATGTCGTCTGCACCAGTTTAGGGTCGTCAACGGTGTATGCTCCAGTAGCAGATGTCGTCTGCACCAGTTTAGGGTCGTCAACGACGTATGCTCCAGTAGCAGATGTCGTTTGCACCACTTTAGGGTCGTCAACAGTGTATGCTTCTTGAACAGTTGTCGTCGTAACCGTTCATGGTCGTCACTGGGGGTTGTCGTTCAGGTCAGTGCATCACTCCAGCCGACGCGCTCACCTCCTCGTTGGACTCGGTGATGGTGGTAGTGATCTTGGAGCCGCGAAAGATGACGGGGATGACCTTAGACTCGACGGAGGTGATGGTGGTAACGTAGGAGGTGGTGGAGGTGGTGAAAAGGGTCGTTGCGGGCACGTCCACACTCAGGGTCGTCACTGTCTTCGACACCCGCGTCACTGTGGTCGTTGCTGGGCCCTGATGGTGAAGGAGTGGCATAAGAAACACTTACAAGTGACCATGCAACCTCACAATTCTCAGTGAGTTGTGAGGGAACCTCACAATTCTCAGTGAGTTGTGAGGGAACCTCACAATTCTCAGTGAGGTGTGAGGGAACCTCACAATTCTCAGTGAGGTGTGAGGGAAACTCATAATTCTCAGTGAGGTGTGAGGGAACCTCACAATTCTCAGTGAGCTGTGAAGGAGCCTCACAATTCTCAGTGAGGTGTGAGGGAACCTCACAATTCTCAGTGAGGTGTGAGGGAACCTCACAATTCTCAGTGAGGTGTGAGGGAACCTCACAATTCTCAGTGAGGTGTGAGGGAACCTCACAATTCTCTGAGGTGTGAGGGAACCTCACAATTCTCAGTGAGGTGTGAGGGAACCTCACAGCTCACAATGAGATGTGAGGTTCCATAATAACACCTGGGAATATAGCTGAACCCCCACATCACTTAAGTTACTAAATGAGAGAAAAATCAAAATACATTCCCATTTTATTTGTGCATTTGAGAATTTAAGTATTTTCTATATATATAAATTTAGGAATGTATATATAGCACAAAATAAATATAAACCCAAACTTTCAATTTCGATTTTAAAACAATATTCTTTAGTTTTTATTATTAATAAAACAATTCTAATGATCTTTTTATCATCAGATTATATCTGTAATAGACATAACATTCGTGTAAACAAACGAATGCACACTAATTTAGTAAACAGTTTTAAAATTCAATATATGAATCATGAGGGAATAGTAACTGAATTAAGCTACCAATAGGTCAAAAGGCAGGGCTCAGGAGCCGACGCTCGACTCTGTAAGCACATTTGGTAAGTGCACACACACACGTACACAAATACCTAAATCCTGAAGTATTTAGAATATAAACAATATTCAACCAGAGATCTAAAAGCTGTTTAACTCTAAGTGGGAATATCATGACTGGCCCATAAGAAAGCATTCTTTTGGCTAAGGGTACTATAGTATGTTGAAGAGGTACACAAAAGTATATTCTTTTGCTGTAAGGATACTTACTGTACCTAGAGGATGAGACTCACTCCGTTCACAGCTTCAAATCACAAGAAATTAATTTTTTCACCAGCTGACCGGTTATTTAAGAGGCGGAGCCCGTGAACTCCATCTCCCTCCCCCGCTGAAATACACGTTAAAACAATTGGAGTTATATTGACCTGTGAGCCGAGCAGGGCAGCCAGTTGTGGGTGTGCTCCTGCCTGACCTCCTGGGATGCCGCCAGAGAGGTACTGGTACACCAGCAAATTAGTGAGGAAGTCTTGGTTGCTACAGGAACCTCCGGCTCCTCCAGCTGCGCCGCCGCCGCCGCCTCCTGCATAAAGAGAAACACAATGTATAAGTTACTTTTAAACGTGCTAATACAATGGCAATTTTAATCGACTAAAAATATGTTATTTGCATTATTAACTTTGGAAAGCAATTTCTGAAAGAGTAATTTTAATATTCGATTGATACAAGTAGCAAAAAAAAACGCCTGAACAACTTTGCATATCCTATTGCAAATTATTATGCACCATATAATAACACAATTTGAACTGCAATCGTTCACAAAATTCACTTAAGACTACTAATATCATGTGTAACACAAAAAGATCACTTTCACCAGGGGTTTGAACATCAGTTATATACTTAAAAGTAACACTGAAAACTTATGACTGGTCAGAAAATGCATTATTCACCCAAACTCAAGTGGTTAATTCAGAATCATTTATTCTAACAAAGTGTGATAATTTTCTGACTGGTAACCATACCTAGGTTATCCCATTAGATTTTTAAATCTTTCTCCATTCGAACTGATGGTACATACCCCATTGCCACCGATAGGGGGTCAGGCCATTACCTAGGAACAGTAAAAAACTCTGAAACAATAATCATAGTAAGCTAAGCACTGTAATAAAATATACTTTCACGATGATGCTTATAATCAGACAAGAGTCGGTAAAAAATCCCTGTACGTTTCAGCAATTAAATGTATCTGGAAGCAAGTGAGGCTGGTTCCTATGGCACAGCTTCCCTGTGTATTGTTCGGCGTTCCCTGCTTGCTTCTCTCATTGTCACACAGCATTACACAGCTTCATACAGAATCATACAGCATCACACATCACACGCAGCATAACTTAGCAAGCACAATTAACACACAATTCAGAAGATAACTAATCAATGAGCATAACCTAAAGCAACTAACGAGAAGTCCTGATTAAGCATCAGTTTAAAGCCTCGGGACCCCTAGTTGATTCAGTTGAATCCCAGGTTGCAATGCTTTTGACCATATAGTGGTGAAGCAGTCTAGAGCGTGTCCTTGGGAGTACCAAATGTGCGGGGGTTCGAATCCCCATCATGGCTCCTACTGATTTTCTCATTGATAAATCACGTGTATGCAATTTCATTGTGCTAAACAATTAACCTTTTTTTGTTACAATGATATCTGACATTTGCGAAGCCTGTACATCTACATTTTTGTCATGAGTTCTTTTAGAAGTTTATGATCTGTTAGAAGGAAGAGGTTCAGACGATGTTGAAAAGATGGTAGATGATTGGATAATATTTACCACCATCAGGTAACATTTACCACCATCAGGTAATATTTACCTGACAATCTTCAGGCTTTTCCGGAAGAACTTATATGAAGATCGTCTAAACATTAGTCAAAAATAATGTTTAGTCGAGTAATGTTTACTTTTCCAACTGGCAGAATGATTCCGAGAAAACTCTCTATGGAGTGTTTATCCATGTTAAACATTTTTCCTTAGCACCGGCGTGAGAATAAACATCTTACGCCTCACTGCAGACAAGTCAAGGACACAGGTTGCCTCGCCAGGCTGCGTATGTCTGGCGTACAGCAGATCTCATGGATAACATGCTATACGCAAGCGTCAGCAGGTTTAACGCATCTCATTAATACATGTTATACGTACGTATCTTAGAACTATGTAACGGAGAAGAGACTGAGGGAAGATGAATGGTGAGAGAGGAGAAAGGGGGTCGAAGTGTGATTGGGAAAGATGAGGAGGAGAAAGGAGGATTGAGAGATAGTGGAGAGCGAAGGACAGGAGTCAAGGAGGGGGGATAGAGATGGGAAAATATGGAGAATAGTGGAGAAACATGAGAGGGTGTGGGGAAGATGAGAGAGAGACTCGGGAGCAACCGGGTGTTCCTCTAGTGTATATATATATATATATATATATATATATATATATATATATATATATATATATATATATATATATATATATATATATATATATATATACTGTACACTAGTGGGGAGGGAGCACCCGGCGTTGCCCGGGTCTGTCTGCCATCTATCCATTTATTTTCCATCTACTCGTCTAACTATATATTTTATCGATTAACATTAAATAAACGTTGGGACAGCATCATCAATGTCAATTCATTGATGAATTAAGATCCTTTGCTCTCATAAGTGGCTGCCATCGATCTTATAAACCTGACTCTCTCAACAGACCAGATATGGACAGCTGTGTTGATGTAGTAATGATACGAATTCGTGAACGCAGAATACAAAAAAATCCTGTTGGTCATGCAGATTCCAGACATCATAAGATAGACGAGTATTTACAGAGTGATGCAGCAAGCTTAGCTGTGGTCAGCCTTAAAAATGTGCCCATAAAGTTTTTTTTTTCTTGCGACCGCGTCTGTGCCAGTTAAATCCACTACGGGCTCACCATAGCCCGTGTTACTTGCAACTTTTTTTGTTCCAAGTTCACGAGTGATCGTATCCGATGATACTATCCATGATCTTAGCACAGTAGTCTAATTGAAGATCAAGAGCGCAAGGGTTATTAAAACAATTGGGAGCAATTCCCCGGTTTGTTGTTGGGCTTAATTGAAGCCTATCAACCGCTGGAGGGTTATTAAGGCCACTCAACTAGTTTACTGGTCAACCTGCAGGTATACGTTAGTCCTAAACGATGGATAAGTTCTAAAAGTGTAAATATACAGACAAGTAGATTGGATCTCACGGTGTTTTTATCCAATGAATGGCAAATCCTTCTCAGTCGATTCCACTTGGACTCGTCGGCACAGCGGAGGTTTTACTCCTCTCAGGTCGGCGTTCGATCCCCAATGATCCAAATAGTTGGGCATCATTCCTTCCCCTCCGTCCTAACCCAGCTCCTTGTCCCCATATCCCTTCCAAGTGGCTTTGGCTTTGGCTTATATTCTGGCTTTGCTTTATCTCCTCATCATTATCTCCATATCATTGTAGTGTTTTGACTTGATGGTAATGTCTCCGAATTAAAATACGTCAAGAATCAACTATATATATGTGTCTAGCGAGCGGCCAAGACTCCCCTCAATTTCCATGTTATACAGTGGATACGACAGACCGCCACTGTCGAAGAGTCTACCTGACTCCCCATTCTAGTCTACCTACCCAATGGGGTAGACATTGTCTACCCCCATTCCCACGTGCGTCTCCAAACACACAAGATTATCAGAGCATTCTCAAAAACCGCAACTTCAACTAGTTTTTTGCTTATATATGATAATATCTAGGATTTTTTATTGATAATTCCTAGCTTCAATACTTGCTCTAGGGTTTTTGTGATCAACTTAAAGAAGCAAACCGGTTGTAGGATGCCTTAGAGGGGTGATCTGGAGACTGTCGTCTACTCACTGGTCAGTTAAACCCCGGATTTAGAGTGGCACCGGGTCCCTAACCTTTATCTTAGTCACCCCTCTCGGTAATCTGCACTTTCTTCACTGTCGAAAACGAGAAAATCGAGGAACAAGATTTGCAATCTTGTTCAACACCTGTGACCAGGTACCTGTACCCTGGTACCTGTACCCTAATACGTGTGTATAGCTACCTATATGCAACACCAATAGCCAGGTATTACATCTAACACCCGTGAGCAAATAACGTGTGTATAGCTACCTATATGCAACACCTATAGCCAGGTATTACATCTAACACCCGTGAGCAAATAACGTGTGTATAGCTACCTATATGCAACACCTATAGCCAGGTATTACATCTAACACCCGTGAGCAAATACCTGCACTCAGTACCTGTGAGTTTGCACCCGATGCATGTGTGTACCTGCACCAAACACGTGTACAGGTACCTGTACACGTGTTCACAGGTACAAGCAATACCTGTGAATAGGTACCTGTATCCCACACCTGCTACCCACTAGCTGTCTCCAAACATAGACGTTGATAGTGAAAGTGACTTAAAAACTAACTTTCTAATTATATGATCTCATTTTAACGTAGTATCTCTCCCCGGCTCTCAATTCTTCCCTCGCTCCCTTGTTATCTCCTTCGTTATCTACTTCCTGCCCTGCCTTCATCGCTGGCTACCTCCTTCCCTACCTTGATATCATCCTAGTTATCTACCTCCTGCTCGCCTTTCCTCCCTGCCTATTTCTTTCCCTCCATTGCTGTCTCCCTTCTTGTTAATCTATTCTTCCCTTCTTCTTTATTTTTCATCATCTAGAAAGGAAGTTGAAAAATTAAGTGTCCAAAGTTAATTTTTAGAGTGATATATGGCCTGATGCTAAGAGATTCCTTTCGTTGAAACTATCAAAATTTTCAGAGGTAGAGGGAACTATGTGGAGAAAACGTCACAAGCCATTACCACTATTTAGTACTGGAAAGGGGTCTGGATAAGGATTTGGGATGGGACGGGGCGAAAGGAATGGCTGGAGGAGTGAGCAGGATATTCTGCTTTGGTATTGAAGATGGTAGAATGTGCCTAAGAGTGTGAGCTGTGTGTTAATAGTTGGTGGTCGATTGTTTGGTGTGTAGTGCTTCGCCAGTGTCTAATCTTCTTTGTCCTTGTATCTGTTGATTATATCTGTCTCGTATTTTACAGGAAATCTCTAGTGATGATCTGTTTGTGTGTGTAGATAGCGTGTGTGTGTGTGTTCTGTGATGGTGTCTTGTTTGTGCTATGTCAGACGCCTTGAAAATGATGTTGTCATGGTTATATATTGAGACTGATGGAGCTGACAGTCCTTAAGTGGATGAGTGACACATATCTGGCCCTCGACCTCACACTTGGCACTCTACCTCACACCTGACACTCGCCCTCACACCTGACACTCTCCCTCAAACATGGCACTCAACATCTCACCTACCACGCCTTAGCGTATAGTGAAGCAGGAATCATTCTACCACCGTCCTAAACACACACTGGACGCACCGAAAGTGTCAACATTTCGTAATTAACCTGCAGCTGTGTACAACATATGTACCGGTGTTCACACTAAATTTATACTTCCGCCTTGAGTCGGCTGCTGCTTGGATGACCAACGCCTGAGGACGGGTTGAATTACTTAGAGA